GGAAAGCGCCGCTTCTCTTAGCTTGCGTGCGCAGGCACACGGATTCCCACGTAAAGCGGAATGCGTCCCGAAATCGCTGTATAAATATTCCGTGGGTCCCGAACTCGCTATAGAAGTATTGCGTGGACCCCGAAATCGCTATATAGATATCCCGTTGATCCCGAAGTCGCTATATAAGTATTCCGTCGGTCCCGAAATCGCTATATAATTATTGCGTGGACCCCGAAATCGCTATATAAGTATTGCGTGGACCCCGACCCGCCGCCGCTGCACCCAAATATCCGAGGCGCCTGCCTCCGGACCTCAGGATTCTTTCCCTGGGAGCTGCTCCTCCCCCTCCTCCACCATCCTTCCTCCTCCTGTTCTGTTCTGGTGAGAGGGAGGGAGGGGAGGGAGAAGGGCTCCTCAAGCCAAAGGGACAGGGCCGAGAGTCCCGGCCAACGCCACAGCCCGACGACCAGAGCACACCCGAGCGCAAAGTTTCGTTTTATCGTCCTCCTCGTCCTCCTCCTCCTCCTCCTCCTCCTCCTCCTCCTCCTCTTACTGCTCCTCCTCCTCCTCGTCCTCTTCGCCCTCCTCCTCCTCCGCCTGCTCCTCCTCCTCGTCCTCCTCGTTCACCTCGTCCTCCTCGTCCTCCTCCTCCTCCTCCTCCTCCTCCCCCTCCTCCTCCTCCTCCTCTTCCAGTTCCTCTTCTTCTTCCTCCTCCTCCTCCTCCTCCTCCCACTCCTCCTCCTCGTCGTCCTCCTCCTCCTCTTCCTGCTCCTTATCCTCATGACCCTGCTCCTTGTCCTGCTCCTCCTCCTCCTCCTCCTCCTCCTCCTCCTCCCCCTCGTCCTCCTCGTCCTCCTCGTCCTCCTCGTCCTCCTCGTCCTCCTCGTCCTCCTCGTCCTCCTCGTCCTCCTCCTCGTCCTCCTCCCTTCCTCCCTCCTCCTCCTCGTCCTCCTCTCGTCCTCCTCCTCCTCCTCCTCCTCGTCCTCCTCCTCCTCCTGCTCCTCCTCCTCCTCGTCCTCCTCCTCCTCCTCCTCCTCCTCCTCCTCCTCCTCCTCCTCCTCCTCCTCCTCCTCCTCAACAATTACTCAATATGAAAATACTATCCCTCTTCCCCTGATGGCGTCCGGGTGATGGCCGCGCACCCTCCGCGTACTGTTTTTTTACACACAGGATGCCCGGGAAATCCCGGGAAACGACTCTCGCTGAGGCGCCGGCGTCATTTTTTCCCAAAATGCTGCTCTCGTTGAGGCGCCGGCCTCATTTCTGCTCCCGAATCGTTCCGAATCGTGCTCCCGCTGCAGCGTGGGCCTCATTTTCGGATCGGTGTTTGGCCTCCGTCGTTCAGGATGGCGTTCTCGCCCCAGCGCGGGCCTTTTCTCGCGCGCCCATCCGCCCGCCACCACCGCGCCGCACCACCACCACCACCACCACCACCAGCACCAGCACCAGCACCAGTACCAACACCACCACCACCAGCACCACCACCCACCACCAGCACCCACCACCACCACCACCCACCACCACCACCACACCACCACCACCACCACCACCACCACCACCACCACCACCACGACAACCACGCACACACGCACGCACGCACGCACGTGCACCACCACCCACTACGCACGCGCGCGCGGAGCCACAGGTCCGCTACGACACGCGTCCGCGGATAGAGAAAATCAGCGCCATGGTAAGGGATGGGAGGGAGGGGTAGGACGTCAGATATGACGCGAGCGCACCTAGCTTGTCTTTCTCCTCCTCCTCCTCCTCCTCCTCCGCCCCTTGGGCGCCTCTTGGGGGCCTCTTGGGCCGTCGTGGGCGGTCTTGGGCTCTCTTGGAGCGCTCTTGGGCCGTCTTGGGGGGGAAACCCGAAAACATGCAACAACCCGAGGGGAAACAGCCAAAAACGGAGGGGGAAGCCTGAACAACATGCAAAAACCATTGTAAAACTGCCAAAAAGGGGGAATCCGCCAAGCTACAAATATTTGCAGCGGAGCGGCCATGGTCCCTCGCGTCTTAGAAAGCTTGACCTAACAAACTGCCAGCACCTTCTCGTTTCGAGAAGGCGCTTCCCGTAATCCGCCACGTCCTGCGCCCCGAGGCGGCGCCGCGCGTTCCCCCCCCCCCCAGACACCCCCCAATTGATAAAAAGATCCCTCTGGGCACACAGACGTCCACCGCGCGACTCTTCCAGTCTTAGCGCGCTTCCCGTCATTAGGAGAGCGATTTCAAGATCTCCATGCTTGAGGGATGTCTCGAGCGAAACGCCCATGTTTAGCAACATACGTCTTAAGATACAACCACCAACTTCTCGATTGTGTGAGGATGTCTCAAGCGAAACGCTCGTTTTAAAATCCGTCAGGTTCGCGGGACACGTGTTTGAAGAGACCCTTGGTAAGAGATTTCCCTCCTGGCCGATGAGCCACGTCCATCGCGCGACTCTTCGAGTCTAAACGCGCTTCCCGTCATCCGCCAGGTCTCATTCACGGCGCGACCCCGCCACCACTCCCCCCCTGGACCCCCCCACCTGATAAATGTTTTGCCCTCCGGGCCGATAACCAACGTCCATCGCGCGACTCTAAAGAGACTTAGCGCGCTTCCCGTCATCCGCCAGCTCTCAATCACGGCGCGACCCCGCCACCACTCCCCCCCTGGACCCCCCCACTTGAGAAATGTTTTCCCCTCCGGGCCGATAACCAACGTCCACCGCGCGACTCTAAAGAGTCTTAGCGCGCTTCCCGTCATCCGCCAGGTCTCAATCACGGCGCGACCCCGCCACCACTCCCCCCCTGGACCCCCCCACTTGATAAATGCTTTACCCTCCGGGCGGATAACCAACGTCCATCGCGCGACTCTTCGAGTCTACGCGCGCGTCCCGTCATCCGCCAGGTCTCAATCACGGCGCGACCCCGCCACCACTCCGCCCCTGGAACCCCCCACTTTATAAATGTTTTCCCCTCTGGGCCGATGACCAACGTCCATCACGCGACTCTAAAGAGTCTTAGCGCGCTTCCCGTCATCCGCCAAGTTCGCGGGACACGTGTTTAAAGAGACTCTTGGTGAGAGATTTCCCTCCTGGCCGATGAGCCACGTCCATCGCGCGACTCTTCGAGTCTAAACGCGCTTCCCGTCATCCGACACGTCCCGGTCAAAAGACCCGACCCCGCCACCACTCCCCCCCTGGACCCCCCCACTTGATAAATGTTTTCCCCTCGGGGCCGATACCCAACGACCATCGCGCGACTCTTCGAGTCTAAGCGCGTGTCCCGTCATCCGCCAGGCCTTGATAAAAGAGGTATCCCGAGCCCTTCCCCCTTCAGACTCCCCCCAATTGAAAATATATCCTTCAAGGTCTGCAGCAACGTCCATCGCGCGACTCTTCGAATCTATGCGCGCTTCCCGTCATCCGCCAGGTCCCCGACAACGGAGCAACCTTTCCTGACATGAATGGGAAGCGCGTGAAAGGGAAGAGTTGCGCAAGAACGTGCAGCATAATCGTGATCAAATGTAATATAGGCGAGCTCTCCGAACGCTCACAAAGGATACGTATGGACACGCGCCCCCCGAACGTTTACAAGCATCTTCCTGGTTCCTCTTCACTCCTCCGCATGAGGAGGACGACGGCCCACGGCGAAAACGACAATCGTGGGAGGAGGGGGAGGAGAAGGAGGAGGAGGAGGAGGGGGAGGAGGAGGAGGAGAGGAAGAGGAGGTCCGTAGCCATTTTAGCTCATGTCCGTAGCGTTGGCTCAGGGATTTGAGAATTTTGGCAGGGGGGATATTGCGGCCCCCACCACGTCCTGGCGGTTTCCGCCAGTGTATCTGTCACCACGTTCTGTCTGTTGTACCCGTCTTTCTCCTGTGCTGGGTTTCTTCTGAGATGGTGCCTCATCCTTCCTTCGCTCTCGCGCCTTGGGCTCGCCAGTCGGAGGAAGAGGAACTGTGGAAGTACTGGGGTGCAGGAAAGAAGGGCAAGCAGTTCAAAGGTCTCGTGTGCTCAGGTGGTGTATGCAAAAAGAATCAGCTGGGTGCGCAGTGGTGCGGGCATTGTCACGCCCCGTTGCCGCAGTTGGCTCCTGCTCGTTCTCCTGTGGCTCAAGGTGCCTGGGCTCCTCAGCGTCGCGGCCCTCCAGACTGGTTCACGCTCGCGGGAGGCGGCGCTGGGCGCGGCGGTCAACCTGCGGGTGCAGCTGGTGGCGCAGGCGGCGGCGTGTCCAAGGGCAAGGGCAAGGGCGACATGCAGCCTGTGCTCGCTGGGCCGCCACAGGGCTCAGGAGCTGACAGCGCATCAGGCGCTCCACTTCCTGCAGGTCCTGTCCCCAACATCTCGGTTGCGGAGGCACAGGAGCTGGCTCGTCTTTGTGAGAAGGCAGGTGATGCCAGAGGTGCGCACTGGTACAGCAAGGTCGGGAAAGGCCTGGCCGCGGCTGAGACTAAGTCCAAGCAGGTGCCATCACCTCATCAGGCGGCTCAGCAGCAGCTTGGGCAGGTGCGCAAGCTGGAGAAGCAGCTCGAGACGGACTGCGTGGGCGAGAGAGAGAGAGAGGAGGGGAGGAAGAGCGAAACGACCGCTCGAGCCAGGGAGTCCACCTGCCGCAACAGGTAAACACCCCCGGCCTGCGCAAGCCAGCCTACGACCCTCCAAACGGAAGGAAGAAGACAAGAAGGAAAGAGAGAAGAACAACTCGAATCAAACGGAATCGAATCGAATCAAATCAATGGCCGTCCGTGCGCCCAATGGAACGCCTGCAAACCCTACGCCACGAAAGCTCTTCCGTGTTCCGCACATCATACGTACCTCGCTCACCCAGCTTCGGAACAAAAAGAGAAGATGAGGACGCACGACTAGAAAGAAGGGGAGCGCAGCGCACGGCGAGCGAGGACGAGAGGCGAAAAGACAGGGCGACCGAGGAGGGATAAACGACAGGGGAAAGCCAAAGAAAAAGGTGGAGAAAGAGAGTGAAAGAGAAAATTGAGGTACAGGGGCGCAGGCGAGCGCGGGGCGGGAACCGCAGGGTGCAAGGCAGCGACCCCTCCCGCCGTATCCAAGTGCACTCCGCCGCGAACACCTCGGGTTCCTGCGGAGGGGCGAGGGCTCGGCCGCCCGAGAAGCGCGCGCGGAGGGCGCGGACCCGGTTTCCCTTCCGCCTCCGATTCCTTTCTTCTGTGATCGCCTATCCTGTTCTTCCTCGTGCTCCTCCTCGTCCTCGTCCTCACCTCCTCTTCCTTCGCATGTTGCTTCACAATATATCCGGAAGGATTCAGCGCAGTAGCGCGCGCTTGTTTCCACACGACACTCCGCCGAATCACGCTTCCGATCGTTCGAAGCTTGAGCCAAAAGGCGTTGGCAACAACAACAGTTTAGCATCAACTCTGCGCTACCTGCTTCCCCTGCGTTGCCGCTGCAAACTTAGCACCCCCCTCGGCTGACACAGCCGCCAAAACAACGGGGAAGGTGTTAATGGTATAATATGGCAACGATGGTGTTTAGATGAACGACATGGGTCCTTGCGAGAAATGCATTCACAGTACCAGCTGGACTGCCCGTTGAACTTCGGCGTGCGTGGCGCACAAAGACCAAGCTAGACCGACACATTATGCGGAAATCTAGCGTAGCTGATTATGGCTGCTTTCGCTCTTCTATGACCAACACTCGTCAAACAAAACAACATGGTTGAACTGTGTATGAAAAAAACGGCTACTCACGCACACTCACGTTCACAAGGTGATGAGAGATAACCGGGAGAGGCCCCATAAAGTGAATCACATATTGTAGCGCCTTGGCAGCCGCGAAGCTGCCCCGCGGACTCAAACGGCAACGTGGGCTGCGGCGCTCTCTCTGAGAATGGCTCGTGTACATGGTGTCGTCGCACGCCTGGGTCCTCTTCTCCTCGTTAATCCAGCATCACTAATCCCTCTGACGAATGGTAGAATCTACGCGGGGATGGTAAGTGCCCAACGCTGACCAGTGGGAACGCATCTGGGGCGTAGAGGTACAGGTGCCAGAAACGGATTGATTTGCTTGTTCTTCAGGCACGCATCCGCCCTGTGGGTCAAAGACCACTGCGGAACCGTTAGTGGCCCACTGATCGACATCGTGAGACGTGAACCGCGTCTGCCAATAAAGGCTCTCTCGGCAATCGGGGCCCCGGCCCAGTAAATTGCGGAGGAAGAAATGCGACGTGCGAATTCCCTCCAGATTGTTCTTCGCGGTCCTTCTCACGGTGCGCCAGGTGCCGTGCCATTCCAGCGGGCGTCGCTCCAAATCATAATCTTTTGGCCATTAGAACCCGTGCAAGTATGCCTGGGATGCTGCTTGTAACAAACCTGGATGCCATCCGTCACTTGGATGAACGCTTGCGCCAGCTCCTCGGCAATGAATATCATTGCTGCCGTGCCCGTTGGTATCTCGCCATGGCATGCACTAGAGTCTCCGGCAATAGTGCCGGCGGCCACGATCGCGCAGATCCCCGGCCAGAGCATGCCGACACACGCAGGGCGTCGTTCAGCTCAAGGTTCTGAATATCGGGTAGCCCGTGGACGTGCGCTTGAGTGTCTGGCACTGTATCGCCATGAAAACAATCCTGGTTAAGTCCATTGTGACCAGTGGCTCCGCGGCGCCCCCTCGGCATCATCGGCGGAGGGCGCATGACTTCGGCAAACCGACATCCACGTTCCGATGCGCAGCAATGCGGAAGGGGGGCGCGCTGGATGAAGGGGGCCTCTGAGGACTTCATGCAATAATGGCCCTTTGACATGGCGGCCAGAGACGCACTCCAACGCTGAATGCTTGTTAACGCTGTCACGGTCGTAAACCTGATCGCCGACCTTCAACGGCCTGATTTCAGGCTCGCTATACCATTCACCGTGCTAGCGGCGCACAAAAAAAGTACCTGACTGACTTGGTAAGCCAATGGGGTCCTCCGCTTCGACTGGGAAATTGGGATTGTCGCGCCCCTTCCCCAACCCGAGGAATAGTGATCTTTTTACAAAGGCGGACGCTTGATGAGTACACCCCCACGGTGCACGTGGCCAGCATGTCGACCTCGTCCAGCGCAAGATTGTCAAGGCTTGTCACGATGTCGTCGGCGCCGAGGTAACATTGTCGCCCCAGCTGGCTGGGCTGGCTGTTCTGGTCAATCAAAGCCCCCTGTTTCCCCAAATGCGCGGGCCTCCGCGGGCCGGGGCCCGGCGCCTCCAATGAGTCTCGCACCTGCTGGAACCGTCGGTAATTCGGCGCGGCGCTTAATTGTTGGATCGCGCAATGCCTCGGCCATTTCTTTCAAATGGTCGGAAAATCGCTGGCCCAACGGGCCAGAGGCGTGCCGAGATCTCCGGTAACTGGTAAACAGTATTTCTGGTTCGCGCGCGCGGGGCGGCCCCTGGGGGCCCCCGGGTCAAAAGTACCCCGGGAGGAGCCCGGGACGCGCCCGGGACACCCCCCCAGATCCTCCAGGACCGCCCCAAGAGGGCCCCAACAGGCCCCCAACACAATCCAAGAGAGGTCCGAGACGCCCGAAGATCGCTCCACGGCGCCCAAGATGGCCTCCAGACGGCCCAAGGTCTCCAAGATGACCCAACAAGCCTCCAAGATGCCCCAAGAGGCCTCCAGGAGTACTCCCAAGAGGGCCCCAAGAAGCAAAATTCAATGCTTTTTTTCTTGGGTTTTGGATCGATTTGGGCGTTTCAACCTTTTCGGTTCCCCGACGCCCCTAAACGGCTCAAGAGGCCTCCAAGATCGCCCCAAGAGGGCCCAAGAGGCCCTCAAAAGGGCCCCGAGACGGCTCCAAGACGGCCCCAGAGGCCTCCAAGACGGCCCAAGAGGGCCCCAAGAACGCCCCCAACACGGTCCAAGAGAGGTCCGAGACGCCCGAAGATCGCTCCACGGCGCCCAAGATGGCCTCCAGACGGCCCAAGAGGTCTCCAAGATGACCCAACAAGCCTCCAAGATGCCCCAAGAGGCCTCCAGGAGCACTCCCAAGAGGGCCCCAAGAGGCAAACATCAATGCTTTTTCTTAAGTGTTGGACAGATTTGGGCGGTTTAACCCTGTCGGTTCCCCGACGCCCCTAAACGGCTCAAGAGGCCTCCAAGAATGGGCCGGCGGAATGAGCGAAGCGATAAAAAAATATCGAGGATGACTCCCGCCTGGGCCTCTGAATCCAAGTGCGAGGGTTCTGGCAGCCGCCCGGAAGTCACGTCCTGCACCGCCGCCGCCTGCGCGCTGCGCGCCTCGATGTCGCCTGCGCCCCGCTGGTATTCAAGCGCGCGCTCACTTTCTGCGGTGCTCTTTGTCTCGCTATTGGCCTCAACTTGCACGTTGAGATCCTCGCTGGCGTCAGTCGCTGCAGTGAGCTGGACCGCCGGGCTCTCCTCCTGTTAAACGAGTTCTTCGTTGACACGAATGAGATTCACGATGTCCCTGCGAGCTTGAGCCCGTTATTTAACGATATCGCCGTTGGCAGATCCAGCCCGCTGGAGCGTGGTCTCCACTTCGTTGAAACACTGCGCCATGGCCGCGTGGGCCTTTTGGGCAGGAGAGACGACGTCCTTGTTGGCGGCTTTGGCGAAGGCGATGAACTCGCGCTCGCTGCGGCCCACCGCGTCAACAGCCTGGCCCGGCACAGCGCGATACGGCGAGGTGCTGATCAAATGCTCATCCACTGCGACTCGATGCGTCTCCCGTGACACTGTTCACCAGACCTGTGGAAAGGGAACGGAAGTGGGTGGCAATCATGAACAGAGTTCTTCGTTAAAGCCTGAATTCGCCGAAACGGCTGCAGTTGGAAACGTTCCGTCGCAGGCGCCAGGCCAATGTGCGCCTGCCCTCGCGCGCCGTTTGATGAGTTAGATCCAGATGCTTGTTCATGACACCCTGGCTCACGCATTAGGGGAATGATTCTGCAATGTTCCCATGCGCGCGGACCTCCGTCACTATGTCGTCTCCAGTCCTCACCCTCTCTTGCAGCCGCAGTTGGCACGCCTCAGTATGCGTCGCATTACCTACTCCCTCCTGCTTGCTGTTGCCACGGCAGCAGCGGCCTCGCCTATGATCGCGATGCTGCTTCCCGCCCCCCACCTCGACAGCTTTCAGAACAGACTGTAAACCAATCCAACCGCTGCGCCCTTCGCGACCACAACATGCCCCCGCGCCACTACCTCCACTCTCTCTCTCTCTCTCTGTCTCTCTCTCTCTCTCTCTCTCTCTCTCTCTCTCTATCGCGCCCGGCATCCGCCGCGGGCAGTGCCGCACTTGCGGCCGGATCTTTGACTGAGAACTGGATGGAGCATCGACCCCGACAAAAGAAATTTACCCCAGCAGTCATTGCCTGAAACTGCTTGGCCATGCTCAACGCCAAGTCCTCCTCATCTCCTTCATCCGCGGGTAGCCTTTCCCCTCGCGCCCCAGCTTTTACTTTGCTCTCATGCGTCCCGGGCTCCTGCGCAAGCATTTCGGCGCGCCCCTGGTTAGCCTTGTGCCGCGGGCCATCATGCGTCCACTCGATGGCCATGTTAAGTGCCCAAACTGCCTTCTCATCCTCCCCCCTAGGCCCTAGCCCCCCTCGCGTCTTCAGCTCAAACTCGCGCGTATTGCTGTGTCGAGACAGTCGAGGTCGACGTCGCTGCCTAACAAAATCAAGTCATCCCTGCGCATACTTAACAAGTTTCTTCCCATTCTGTGCATGGATGCACGCGGTGATGCCGCGGCGCTGTCACGCCCCGCCGATCTCGCAAAGTCCGCGCAACAATCCCAGCGCCACCTCGGGCAACATGCACTGATTTAGGCAGCCTGCCGCGCGCGCCTGCCTCGCTCTCACCCTCGGGAAGCTCAGCGATGCAATCCTTTCTCGCGGGGGCGTAGAAGCAAGCTCGCTCGGCACCGATGAACTCCAGCATGAGGCCCTCCTCGCGCCCGCCCTTGTAAATCCGAACCCCTCTGTTACAACCGTCGAGAACAAGGAATTGTGGGCCTCCAGCGGAAGCGCAGCTGCACATGCGTGCTTCCCCTTAAAGTAATATCTTTTCTGTTCGGCCACTAGTCTGGATCGGCGACGCGGGCCGTTGTCGCCCCCCCTGCCC